TTCCCATTTCTGTCAAACATCAATTCTTCATCTGTTTCATTTGTTTTATTATCATCAAAGTCATCAACAATGTTTACATCATCACTTGTGTAACCGTCATTTTCTTTATCATCGACAGTAGTTGAATCAATTTTAGTTCTCTTGTTATCTTCTATAGGTTGAGGAACACCAGCACCGTTGCTTGAATTATTTGAATCACCCAGATATTTCTCATTATTTGGAATTTTATTTCCTCTTTCTTTCATCTTTTTTTTCTTTTTCTTTTTAACATTGCCTGCTTCTTCGATCGTTTCTTCGTCAACAACAATTGTGGTTGTCGTTGTAGTAGTCTCAGTGAGCTCTGAGTCATCTGGTGGTAGCTTTGTTGCATCTGTTTTGCTTGTTCTTTTATTTATGCCTTTCTTTTTAACTTTCTTATTATTATCTTCAATATCGTGTTCCACGTTATCTGTATCCTCATTTTTGTCATTAAATATTTTCTCCTCATTATAACCGTCATCGTTATAAAAATGTTTGGTCTTTCTAATTCTTGATTTGTCTGGAACACGTGGATCCATATCAACATGATACTCAAAGTAATTAGAGGCATCGGGGTCTGATGAATTATTTTCCGAGTCCGATGATGCTCTGTTTATCGTTTCATCTAATATTCTATCTTTATTAGGTTCAACTGGTGACAACTTTTCATCAACTAAATTGGTATCAGATGTGACTTTTCTGTCATCAACGTTGAAAATTTGCTTGGGAAGAATATTATTTTTTTTCTTAGTTTTCTTAACTTTTGAATCACTATCAGCCACATTGTTTGTTTTACTGTCTAGTACAATTGGCGGAAGAGGGGGAAAAGATTCGTGTTCATCCTCATCATTAATTTCATTGTCATGTTCCTTCACACTAGCTCTGTTTTTATCCTTTGAATCAGGAATTAGGGTTTCGTTATTATTTGAAGTATTTATTGGCTGTTTGTTATTTTTTTCATCTTCACCTGCTTCATCTGCAGACAAATCATCAACATTAGTTTCTCTAGACCTGTTCAATTTTTGGCTTGTATCGCTTATCTTATGTTCATAGTCTGTAATTCTTTCGTCATTAGCACTCGTTTCACTCTGTTTCCTGTTGTCACTTACTGGTTCATCGTTTGTAGATTTCTTTTTCGATTTCTTTTTTCGATCTTTCAAGTTAACTTTGCGATCTCGGTTGGAATCATTTTTATTTGTTACGTTGAATACATCAGTCTCAGTTTTTGCATCATCATCATCTTCGAGTACTTTATCTTCTGTTGATGCGATTGGCTGTTTTGAACTGTCATTGTCTTCATCAACATTAGTCTCAATTTTTTTATTTGAATATTCGTCACCTGTTTCTGAAACTAATTTTTTTTTAGATTTTTTTCTTTTTATCTTTTTAATACCTTCATTGGTTACATCGGAAACGTGATTCTTATTGGCATCATCGTCGGTAGAATGTGCATGGACTATTTGATTTAAATTACTTTCATCAAGTTCATTTTCACCATGCTCAATTGAATGAATGAGGTGATCTCGACGAATTTTGCTGTTCATATCATCCCGATTTGCTTCTTTCTTACTTGACGGATGAGCAGGAATGAGAACATCAAGATTGTTTGTGTCGTCTTGAGAAAGACCATCATTGCCTTCATCATGTTCTATCGAGCCATCATGAGTTTTATCTTCATGTGTGTTTTTTTCAATAACATTTCGCTTGTCAGAACCTTCTTTAGGTATATTATCATCGGTTTCTTTCACGTCAATACCTGCTTCAACATTAACATCTTGTTCTTCAGAATCTTTTGTAGGAACATTGTCAATAACTGAGTTTTCTTCAAATTGATTTTCGTCATCATTCAAGTTTTCATTACTAACCTCTTGCTTTTCGAAATTTTTTAGAGAATTTTTAAAACCAGAAGAAAAATTTTTGTCAGGTAACTTATTTTTCGATTTTTTCTTCTTTGGTTTATCTTGTTTCTTGTTCATAATATTTTCACTAATTAAGTCCGGTACATTGCTTAAAACAACATCAGTTTTTTCAGTTTTAAATTTATTTCTAATGTTATTAGTTGTTTCATCCTTATTGACATCAACAATTAATGTTTCTTCGTCATCTTTATCAAATGTTCTGTTAAGAACTCGTTTGCTATTCTCATCATCTTCTCTCATATCATCATCTGAAACTTTTGACCCATCCTGATCACGGAGCTCAGTGACTTTCTTGGAATCAGCTTCACTGTTAATGATAGGTGGTACTTTTTGGCCATCGACTGATTTTTCTTTTTTAACTTTTTTCTTAGTTTTCTTTTTAGTACATATAATATCATCAGTTGTTAATGCAACGTTGGTTTCATCTTTATCAAGCGTCTTGCTAAGAACATCAATTTCCCCATTATTATCTTTTTCACCCTTATTAATTGCTTTTTGATCTTCAACTGGTACAGTGTGTTTCACATCTTTTGTTTTATTTGGGTATCTATTCTCGTTTTTATCGGCAAACTTTTCAATCTGTTCATCTAAGTTGTGAATTTCTTTATCATATTCATTTTTTTCTGTTTCATCTCTACAATAACTTGTGATCAACGTTGTACCGATAACTTTTTTAGTGCCATTAGCAGTCTGATCATCATTCATGTGATTCTGTATTGAATTTACAAAATTGTCAGTAATCTTGGGTCTTGATTTTTTCTTAATTCTTACACAAGGAGTATCATGCGCAAGACTCTTTTGATGTGGATTCTGATTTTGATGATTTTTAGCTGGTGGTAATGCGACTTCGGTGTTATCTTTCAACAAATCGTCGTTCTTTTCAATCTTACCGTTTTCATCAGTTTCTGATGTTAAATTTGTATTATCTGAAACAGGTTTATTTGTTTCTTTATCGTCTCCCTTTACCTTTTTAGACTTGGACTCTGACATGACAAATACATCTGTAGTTTTGCTGGGAAACTTGTTCTCCCTCAAGTCTGTGATTACTTTGTCTGTCGAACCATTTATTTTTAGAATATTTTTTAAATCTGAATTTGTATGTTCTTCATTTCCTGTGAGTGATAAATTATCATCTTCTTTTTCTCTGTTTTCACTCGGCCAATCAGATGATGAATCTATTTTGCCAGATTTTTTATCATTTGAAAGCTGTGGTTTGTAAACTGGAATTTTTGATTTTCGCGATTTTCTATCTGGCGTATTAATGTATAATTCACTTTTCTCGTCAATGACATCTTTTTTAATATCAGTTTCATTAATATCAATTTTAGTTTTGAGTTTGTTACTTTCTGTTTCCTCTCTAATTTTATTTGAAATTTCTGATTCTTCTTTATTTTTTTTATTGATTCTTTTGTTAGTTATTTTGTCATCTGTTGAGATTACAATTTTAATTTTGTTTTCAGGAATTTTTTCAGGAGAAATTGGCAGTTGAACTGTTGGGTTTTTACCGGCACCAGTTTTATTCAAATCACTACTGGTTTCTTCTTCATCATCCTCGTCATCATTCTCCAACTTTGCTATTAAAATAGTTTGTTTATCTGGCTGAATTGAAGAAACAACAGTAGATGTTATTGTACCAGACCCCGATGAATCTTGTTTTTTGTAGGAAGGTATGCGTGTTTTTGAAGGTGGTTCTTTTGCATTTTCTTCGATTTTACTGCTATTTCCATTTATAACAATTTCACTGAAGTTTTTTGAAGGTTTATAGTCCTCTAGCTCTTTGTTATTTTCTTCTAAATAAATTTGATGACCGTTTTTAGATGGTTGATCTTTTCGCGAATTTTCCTTATCTTTATCAATGTCAGGCATTTGGATAATTCGAAAATTGATATCATCTATTTTAACACTGGAACTACTGAAACGTTCAGATTCATCGATATAACTTTTATTGTTGTACTTCGGTCTCAAAACCGATTTTTCATCTGGAGAGGAAAATTCTTCTTCGGATTCCAGCGGACAATAAACGTTATTTCCACGTCCACCAGAAAGCCATTCTTTTACATGATATTTATTGTAATCATAAGTTTCTACCGAATGTCTAATATCCTCATTTTCATCTTCTTCATCACTTAAATCCACCTCCTCTTTCATAGCATCTTCAAGAGCATCGGTTTTGGCATCTATTTGACCAAATGTTTTGTAGGGTCGTGCTGTGAATCCAATTAATTTCCCTGCAACTCTCACACCACCACTGTTCAAATTAGAATCACAAACTGGAGGGCTTTTCACCCTTGCATGTTTATATTTTTTATTGACGACTGTTGTTGCTGAGTTTAAAGGCTTGGACCATTCTTCCCTACGTTCAACAGATCTTTGCAACAAGTTATCGCGAAAGTAATAATCTGGTAAACTATAAACTGAAAGTCTCGTTACATCAGCGGAATCTTCGGTTGATTCAACACCAACTGGATCAGCAAGAATGAAATCAGTACGAGCTGACTGCTTCTGCTTACTACTGTACGCCTTCGGAACTTCACCAAACACTTTTAGTTTTAAGCCTTTTGATCGACCCCCTTCACTTAGAAAACTTAACGGAGAATAATTCCTAGGACATTTAATTGTTAACACTTTTGCATGTGGATCAAAAACTGGAGAGTAATGATCATAACGTAAATATTTCGAATTATTCAAATTGTCATCAAGTGTTGAAGTAAAAATTGTAGTTTTTGTAATGGAAACATCTTTCAACGTAACTTTTTTCATCAAAATGGGATCGGATTTTTTGTTGGCATTTATCTGAGGATTGGAAATTATAGCTGGCTTGTTTTCTTTTGTTTCATCTTTTTTATTTTTATCTATGTTTGTGATTACGCTGTTATTCGGAACATTTGGAAGTTTTTGTTTGTCAAACGATACATAAAAACGATCACTTTTATCTTTGTTGGATAAATTAAAAGAAGAGATCTCGTTGTCTAAATTAGGAAAAAAATATTTCTGTGGTTGAATGTCAGGTTTTTTTTCTGAAAACATTGAGGTGACAATTGGAACATTATTGGCTTTTGAAAAAGTTGATGGCGTAGTAACATTTGAGCTAAGAGCACTTGCAAATGTAACATGAGTAGTTGTTTTCATGTCAACATTTGTGATAAAAATGGCATTAGTGTTTATATTCGCACTCATAGTTGTGGATGTCGTTGTTTTGGCAGTGGTACTAACGTTTGAAGTAACAAGCATGGGAGTCGTAGAAATGTTTGAAGTAACAGAAATAAGTGAAGTTATTGGAATGTTTGAAGTAACAAACATGGGTGTTGTAACTTTTGAAGTTACAAACATGGGTGCTGTTGTAACTTTTGAAGTAACGGAAATAGGTGAAGTTGTCGTTATGTTTGAGGTAACAAACGTAGGTACAGTTGTTATAGCAGCTGTGATCACAATTGACGTCACATTTGAGGCAGTTGTTGCTGTTTTTTCTGAAGGAATTGTTGAAACCTTCGGATATTTATCTTGTTCTTTTTGTTTCACATCCTCGTTCTTTATGTTCTTGTTCAAATTAGTATGATCATCATCGTCGTCATCGTTACTACATACCTCGACAATAACATAAGATGACTCATTGTTGTTGGCATCAAGTGGCTTTGCTCCGATATCATTTAATAGTTGGGATATTTTTGAGAAATGATTTTTGACAGCTAAATTAAGAGCCGTCATTTTGCTTGTGTTAACTGCATTGATGTCAAAATCGCGACATCTTACCAGTAAGGTGGTTATAGCAAATCTGTTTTCAGAATCTTTCTGGAAACTGGAGATATCAGAAACTGGTCTGATATCAACGAGTGAATGAAGAGGCGTGTTATTCTTGTCATCTTTAACTTGATAGTCAACTTTTAAATGGTCCAATAATAATGAAACACAGTCAATGTGAGCGAATTTGCATGCAATATGTAATGGAGTTTCACCACTGTTGCCATGATCTTTTCTTGACTGAAGTTTTGGTTTTTCAGTCTTGCAATTCACCCATTTGTTATCTAAAGAACAAAAAAGTTCAATAAGATGAGCATGTCCCTCGCGTGCTGCTATGTGAATGGGAAACTCTCCAGTTTGAATTAAAGGAGTTTGTTCCGCTCCCCACCTCAATAACAAACTAACTATTGCGGCATGACCGTGTCTGGTGGCAAGATGTAACGGAGGATAATCTCGACACCAGTACATTTCGTATTTTTCATCTTTTACGTCTGTATCTTGTTTCAACTCCACGTCGGTATCAGTTAGATTATCATTGATTAGATTGGGGTCTGCATTTTTGGACAACAAAATTTCAGCAGTTTCGCAATCATCATTAATAACGCAAAGTTGCAAAGGTGTGTTGAAACATGAGCAACTTGCTGTTGAATGTCTGTCAGCATAAGGAATGTACGAACCAGACATCCTGCTAGGAATCTTGTTAGGGTTAGCACCATTATCTAGAAGTATTTGAACAGATTTAGTAAGGTGGCCCAGCAGACATGCATCTCTCAAGGCAACTTGCAGATCATCAGTGCCAACTCTCAGTGATCTGTTAGCGTTATTTGACAACAACTGCTGTAATTTTGAGGGGTCTTTCAAATCTCGCTCGCTTATTTTCATATTGAACGGTTATATCTGTGATGTGTAAGAAAGTGACACATTATAATTAGAAAAGTTAATATATATATATTTTGTATAAATATTATATTGAATAATTAGACTAGTTATTTTCTAAATATAATATCAAAAATTGCTCGTAGTGAATCACATCATTAAAGACCAGAAAACATTTGTGAATAAATATTAAAAGATTCTGAACCCTGAATTTTAATAACGTTATTCAAAATCTTGAATTACTAAAATAAATACCAAGTAAGGACGTCAAAACTTATTATATTGTGTTAACATAACGAAGCATATTAATTTTAAACCTTAAAACTGTTAATATCTTTATAGTATAAGTCAAACAAATCAAAATACGTTGCATAAATTGTCTAAAAGGAGAATTTTTCACCAATTATTTACCATGTGCTAGCTTGTTGAAATTTATAACTATGCAACTAAAAAAATTTTTATTTTTTATAACACAGTTTGATTAGTAGTAGTGTCGGGTTTAGTGCAGTTGGAGCAGTTGCATTACAATTGCACCATGACCTGGTTCAAACGCAAGCTAGGTCAAATACAACGACAGTTATAATTTAATGATAATATAATTTATATCAAGTTGTGTGTGCAATGAAGTGTATATACAATATGTGTACAATTACATGAAGACGTTAAATGAATATTATATATATATATATATATATATATATATATATATATATATATATATATGTGTGTGTGTGTGTGTGTGTGTGTATGTTGGTAATAGACCATAATTTTTACAATATTCTATAAACTCTACCGAATGTTTGGCGTTAATATGTTTGTAGTTCGCTTTTTCAATTTTTGAAAAAACGAACAAAAATATTAAAAAAATATGAGAACAAAATATTTGTAGAGGCTGAAAAATTTTAAAATAATTTTCTTCTGAAATTGTTTGAATTCCAGCGATGTAGCAACTTCCATGTAATATTTACGAAGTATTTACTACGTTTCTGACCGAGAAATTCTGAAACTTCAATCAAGCTGTAAACTAGAAGCACACGTTCCACAATCCCAAACATTCCAAATGATGGTAGGACAGAATTAAACTAAATCAAACTTTTATGCTATTTCAAAAAAACGCTTACTTACATGAAAGTGAATTAACTCAAAAACGGAAACAAGAATAAATAGTCTTCAGCTGCAACTGAACAGTGTCTATTACAAAACCAACTACTTACATTTTACATGTGATCCAATATTGGTCATATTTTTATTTCTTCATTACGAAGAATGTATAAAAGAGACGAAAAAATACTGCAAAATATCTAACATTACATTCATAGATAATACGTGGGAGAATCTGAAATTTGAATCTGCAAACAGACCAACTCTCATTGAGATATTGACTACGAAACTAAACCTAAAACATTGAACTGGAGCAGAGGTGGGTAGAGAAACTCACCCACCCTTATTTCAAAATATCAATGAAGATTTCTGTTTTATCCTCAATTGTTAATAATAATAATAATACTATTATTATAACTGAAATAATAGTCATTGGTTACTTCTTATTAAAGTGTGATTTATGAAGTGTCTGACAGAGATGACCATAAATTTGATGTTAATAATAATAATAATTAATAATATAATAAATAATAAGCAGTAAACTTCCATCGAATTTTACAAAATTAATCAGATTATGATATTAAAAAAAATAAAACAAACCAGTTAGACACTTTGAGAGTCCTCAAGAGTTTTAAAGTGCACCAAGCAGTATATTAAATATAAACTCTTATGGTATAATATTGTATATTCTATTAAAAATTAAAACGTTTAATTTTAGTTTGTTAAGATGAATATCATGAAAACTTTTTAAAAAAAAAGTTAAATATGACTTGCCAAGGAAATAAAGAATGCAATGCAACAAGTTTAATCAGCATACAATATTATTATTATCTACTGTAGTTAATTCATCCACAATAAAAATTGAAATAAATAAACCACGCAAATAATAAAAAACATCATCAAAAGTGCCATACAAACTTTTCAAATATATTGATGTGAAGTAAAATATATGTACAACCATTGATTGATTGATTAATTGATTGATTGTTTAATTGATATATTTTTAGCTATTTAGTATTTACTGTGTACATATAGTAGTATTAGTAATTAGTAAAATCTTATTAACTGGCACTAGTAAGTTATCAAAATACCGTAAAAATAATCTAAAAACTGAAAGTTATTACAAAAAAATTTTAATTCAAAATCTAATTTTACACCAAAGCACTTATTACGAACGTAATTAATTAAATTATTACTTGATAACGCAAAGAGAAAGAAGTCATCCTGTAACGCAATAACTTTATTATTAATAAACATCAATATATGTCTTTATGATCATACACATACATACACACATACATAAATACATACATACATAAATACATACATACATACAACATAAATACATACACACATACATAATACATACTAATATACACACATATGCATGCATAAATACATACATTCATACACGCACACATATACATACGCACATACCACGTTTGTTTACTTCTACCTTTATTAACAGTTTTACCTTTACGTGCAAAGAATGTTTAACATTCAAAATGTTCTTCAATTTGACGTCTCAACGCAACACAGTAAATATTTGGCGGCCTGTGAGCGTAACTTATATATGCAATATATATATATATATATATATACATAGATCATGCATATTCATTTATGTTAAGAGACAGTTTAAAGTTATGAATAATTAATATTAATGATCTCATCTGAAAACATCTTATTTGATAATATTAAACTACATTGATGAAAATAAGTACGTACTCTGGTAATGTTTACCATTGTTTCTATCATCTATAATTAGTAAAAATTTCATCATCGTTGTCATCATTAACAGTCTTTTCATCATTATCATATTGTCCTGTCATCACAATCATCATCACCACCAATGTCATCATTATCACCAGTCATCGTTCATAAATTACTCAGTGTGAATTCCCCAACAATCCCATCACACAAACACTGACACCCATTATGTAAAATATATGAAACCGATTTCAAGTTTAAGAGAAAAACTCCATATAATAAATAAACGAACGCACATGCGATCACACATACACTTACGTACGTGCACAAAAAAAACTGTGCACGAATGAAATTGTACATAAATGAACTGCATATATACACTCATACGTACTTATACAAGTTTACAAGTTTGTAGGGAGGAAAATATATTGGAAATGAAACCAATGAACAGAGGAAGAAATGCGAGTGTTGCTGTAGAAAAATGATATCCAGCGAATCGAATTGAAGAATTAACAGCGGGTAAATGAAACCGACGTCATTTTAATGGACGAGTTCTTATTTGGCCAAAAAGAATTTATCAACCAGAATTTATAATTGAAATGGTCATGCAAATTTTTTTTTTAATTTTTGAAGTCCAAACATTCTTGTCGACGTTGGAATGTTCAACTTCGAAGAACCAAATGTATTCAGCTTCAATTTGGCACGACGGCAATGAGACGCAATTAAAACTTGCCTAACCCTGATCCTAAACCTTTCCGATACTGCTTGTTATCGTAAAAACGTAAGGAAAGATCATCCACGTGTCCAGTCGTGAGGTACTCAAATTGATAAAAAAGGAGAAGAAAAAAATGAAAAGTATTTTTCAATACTAACGATGTATAATCAAAGAAAACAGTACAGAGTACAGAAACAAAACAGAGGACCACTCCAGTCCACACCAACAAGATACGTACCCACCAACGCAGTAATTAATGCGCCTAGAGGCCGACAACAGTTCAAACACACGGTAATAAAGAGAATAAAAATGAGTGAAGGCGACGCGGAGTTGCAACCCAGCATCAAATTGAAACGGAAGGGAATATGGAATGTGATAACTGCAACAAGGAGAAAGAGGGAAGATGACAAGATGATGACCCACGAATGCGCGACTGAAAGCGCCAAAATGACATCATTCTCCCCTTATCTGAAAGGGAAGCTGATGAACTTCTAAATGAAAACCATGTCAACGGTGAACCAATCAGAGACAAACAACTTGAACAGTCGCACAATGGCAAAGACTAAAATGGCAAAGACTAATGACAATGATGAAACTTAAGGTACAGGCACCTAAAAGCCCAGTAGAAACAACAACTAATAACCAACTATGTGGTTCACTCGTATGTGAGTCAATCTTAAGCTATCACCAACTGCCAATCAATATTTCGATGATTTACTTATAAATTTAAAAGAATGTGACAAAAAATTACGGAAATATGAAGGCATCTTAAACGTTCAAAATGGCCAAAACATTTTCAATGACAGGATTTGTGAACATTTTTTTATGGCCTACAAACTACTGTTTAAGGTTTATTAACATAATTTATGCGCAGGCAAGCGTGTTGTTGATGACATAAATATTCACTCAATAATTCGTTAGTTATCTACATCTAAAAAAATCCCAAACGTCAACAGACTCGAATTATAAATTCAACGTTACACATGTTACGTTATAAACGCTACTTTATAAATGCCAAAAAACATGGTGACAGCACAGCACCAACACACTGATAAAACAAGTTGTTGCGCACTAAGTGGCAGAACACTGACTTATTTGTATGTATCGTGATCTATTGCGACAGAAAACATACAAACATAAAGCCGATGCACAACAATGCGATGCGAATTGAAAGGCGCATGAGCATTCAAACTTAGGTGAGAAATCAGTGATGTCACATTGGGAACCAGGTGTTTTGAAATATCAAACTTACAGAATAAATAATCGACAAAGTGGCAGGGTCAGGGAGAGCCAGTGCCCGACGTTGCGAGCAGTTTTTGTATTAAATAAAACTTTGTTTAAACCAAAAAGTGTCTTTTTTGGCCAAAAAAGACACTCAGCTACAAATGTTGACCCCCCCAGTCAACACTGAAATATATTGAAATATTTTCAAAAATTCCCTGGTCTACGTTTGAAAAATGTTGGCCTTTCCGTCCGCTAAAAATGTCTAGACCCGCCACTGAATCGAGCGTGCGGCACTAATCGGCAAAAGTAACAAATATGACTACATATTAAAATATGATAAAATTCACCTAAATCATGGAAAACAGATAGGATGCTCATTCCAATGTTAGTTGCAACATAATGGGACAGCACTACGTCAGTATATAGAAAAAACCTCTCAAACTAAAATGAAATCAAGAATCTGTGCTTTAAATGCAGACTGTTTTTATTAAATAAATAAATGAGTTAACAACTGACGAAAAAGTCAGAAGCACCCGTTTTTGGATTGAAAGAACGTACGTGTATATAGAAAGAGATAGAGGCACAAACGCTAGTGTTAAATCAAACTCAATGTACAAATATCTTTCACTTTAAGAGACACATAATGTAAAAGCTGGACCATAAAATGAGCAATAATGATAGAACAATACCAAAAAACTCTGAAAACATTTCCGATCAGCTGGCTTTGGCAACGCGTTCTCCCAACGGCTTCACTCAATGAAGTTCTGTTGGATTGGGAGGACTCTCGTATACAATGCGTTATCAGGACTTTCTTGCCAACATGACGTCATCATCACTACATTTGTCACCTTCATCATCACTATCATTAATATTCAATCGGAAATCTTTCACACACGTCATTCATTCATTAACCTGACCTGAACATCAACCAGCATCATTCATCCCAATAAAACCATATTGTCACATATTTCTTGAACTTATTACTTTGAGCAGTGCAGATGTGTATAAATTATTTACAGGCCGTTTTTATTAATTGAAACACCCTCTCGATTTATCATTGCGATTCGTTTTTATTAAAAAAGAAACTCGACAGTTTCTGATTTGTCGAAGATTTGTTGACCTCCTTTAACTTCTTAGCCCCTCCCACAGACGTCACGTGATCTGGTGAACTGTTTTCATTTCTTTTCCGCTTCTTGAGAGATGTGGATGAGTCGTTCTTTGCATTATTTTCTTTTCGATCCTCGGAATTCCCAGAGCTCAGTTTCGCTGAAACTCTCGATGATTTGGGTTTTTCCATGTTGTCAAAAATGCTGGAACCTCGTGGTTGTGTCTGTGGCGGTTTGTTGTTGGTGGTACTTCCGATGTCGTTCGATGCAACCTGGCAGAGGTGGTGGTTGGTGTTTGTGGAATGTGGGATGACATCAATGAAATGATAGGATGATGCTGCGAAGTTGGTACTAGGGGTGATAATATTGTGATGATCAGCATACCGATGACCATGACGTGACGATGACGTCATGATGACGACGTGGCGATGACGTATATAACTCCAGAGATAAAGTCTTGGGTGATAATCGTGATTTTCGTGATTATAAAAAAATGATGAAATAAAACTAATGATAACCAATTATTATTATTATTATCCATTCTTAGAATAGTCCTCAGAGGTAGGCAGAGCATGTACGGAATATAAAGTGAAACAGTTTATTTCAGGTCAGACAGTTCCAGGCAAAGCAAACAGTACACAATCACTAAAACTGTATAACTTTAAACACGAATGTCAAAAGATTCACACAACAAGCGTGAAACCACCCAACCATTCCAATAACCTTGAAGGGATTCTTTATTTCCTTAAAAGTCATGGAATCGGACAAAGAAGTTTTTTTGCTGAGTTTGTTCCTCTTCTTGCCAGCGATGGTTCCCGGCTTCTTGAATGCATCAACTGTTTAGTAAGAAATACAATTACTAGAAGTTATGTCTGAGAAGTCGAATGATCTGACCGAAGGCATGAGGCACAGCATAAACGAGAAATCACTTTATTTTATTATTCAGAAACTCGAAGTTTCAACTACATTACGAATGAACAGATAGCGTCATGCCGGTAGAGTCATGAGAGTTGCAGGTCTCAACAACTAAGATAGTCAAACACAGACAGGGAAAATTTAAATAAAAAATTGATGAAGAACTAGAAATGAAGACAAGACGAAACCTTGCTCTTTCTCACTATCGCTATTTTCTACAGCCCCGCCATCATCATATTCATCTTCGTCATCACCACTGTCATTCTTCTCTATCTGATTATCGTCGTCGGCATCATCTTCATCAAGTCCTTGATCAACTTCATCGTCATCCACCTCAGTGAGATCTTTCTCGTTGGATGGCTTAAACTTGGAGCCTGCAGATGATGCTGGTGGTTGGGTTGTTGCTGCTGGTGGCTGGGTTGTTGCTGCTGGTGGCTGGGTTGTCGTCGCTTCAGAAGCAGTCAGTGGCGTTGAAATACTTCGATTGAATGAAAATTTCTGTGTATGGTTTTCACTCGAACTATTCAGTCTGTTGCTTTTCAAAGATGAGTCGGAGGAAAAAATTCTGGAAGATCTGATTGAAGAGAATTTCAAATTTTTAACAGACTTGTATCAAACTTGAAAGAGATTTTAAAATACTCACACTTGCATAGTCTATACTTTTAATTCTATAAATATTTCTATTTTTAACTGACAACAAAACAATTTACCGTTTATGAGAAAAAATAATGAAAAAAAACCGAACAGAATTTTTGCAGGTTTGAGAGCCAGGGGTTTCTCCTCACAGCTGACACGCTGCTCCTTCATTCTTTTGCTCATTATCCTCATCATCTTCATCTTCATGGCGTCATCGTCGTCATCATCGTCATTGTTGTTGTTGTTATTGGCAGTTACAACCTTTTCGTCCTCATCGTCATCTTCGTTATCCTTTTCGACCTTTGACCTGGCGAGGTCATTCAACTTGTGAACTATCATCGTTTCACCTTTCTGAGAGGCGTACCTGGGCGCGTGGGGAGATAGATGGAGGGTTAGTCTTTCATTCATTCTCAGCCCAGTCATCACCACCACCTTCATCTTCATGATGGAAACCATCATCTTCGTCGCTATCATCTTACCATCCCAATCATTTGCAATACATCCTCCAAGTCATCATTCCTAACACAAACACCACCACACCCCACCACACCACACCTCACCACCACTTCCTAACACATGAGAGGACCAACATTCAGTCATCGTCATCATCACATAACATTCATCCTGTTCATCATAATCATCGTCATCATCACCATCACAACGTCGTCGTCATCACCATCATCGATACCATCATCAAGGTCACCACCTGATAGCCAGTTGCAGCGTCTTGACATCGGGCATCATCTCCCCGAGTTCAACTGCACGAACCTCCTTGTTCGACCTGCAGGACAGCTGATGTGTGGGTGGTGGTGGTGGTGTGTAGGTGGTGGTGTGTGGGTGGTGGTGGGAATTATATCAACGCTTGAAACCAATTGATTGTTCATCAAACATAAAACAAAAATATCAAGAATGAATGAAGAACTGATGAAGAGCGAACGAAGTGTCGATGTGAACGAGTGAATGAACGAGTGAATGAGGAATGAATGAAGAATTTTATAAATCAATGAATTAAAAACAAAACGAATATATGAATGAATGAATGAGTGAAGAGCAAAACGAACAGCAAACAGTTTCATCAGAAGCTCCTTCATTAGCGTTCCCATCCTACTCTCTTCTGATTGGTCGAAGTGGTAACCTTGAACTTTCCAAAACTTGAAATGATTGGACAGAAGTCGTGTGCGCCAATATTGCTCCTGGGGGGGGGGGAATGAAATATTTGTTAAGAACCAATAGCGGAGTTCGTGTATTTGATGTTTTTTTTTCTGCAAACAGAAAGTTTCATGTCGAGCCCTGCACCTGAGAATAAATTCTGAAATCATTTGATGGCTAAGAGGTTAATGGGAAAACTGAACAAGTTTGAATAACATGGCATCGAGACGAACACATAAGAAGCTGACCAGTTACAGAAAGTTAAATTGATCATTCAGCATCACAATCAGCCAACTTTCAAACTGTCCAATCAATCTTTGGCATTGCCATTCAACATCTAAAAAGCTATTTATTAATCACCAACTGACCAACCAACCAACCGACCAATCAAACAACCAATCAAACAACCAACCAACCGACCAGCCAACCAACCAACCGACCAACCAACCGACCAACCAATCAACTAACCGACCAACCAACCGACCTCCAATATAGACTTGTCAGTGTTCATCTCGCAGTAGGGCAGCTTGAATGGAAGTATCTGAACGATGGGCAGTGGCAGGGTGGATGGGTACTTGGAGCCCTTGCAGAAGATGGCCCTGCAGTTAGGTGGTCATGCGATGATGATGATGCATCCAGACTATAATGCATACTTTCAAAATGACCAGCATATAAACACACACATACACACACAAACACCACACCACACAAACATATACACACACACATACAAACACACACACATACACACACACCACACATACACATAAAAACAAACACACACACACCCCACACACAAACAAATACGCACACAAACATATACAAACACACACACACACACATACAAACACACACACACACATACTACCAACCTGATCTGTTGAGGATTCTCGCGAATGCCCACCACCCAGTAGCTGTCTGAATGACCCTTACACTTAAGTTTGTAAAAATGCCAGGTTCGAACTAATTGATCAACCAGCCAACCATCCATTCAATCAACCAGCCAACCAACTACCATCCAACTGACCAATCAACCATCCAACCAACCGACCAATCAATCAACCATCTATCCATCCAGCCAATTAACCAGCCAACCAACTATTCATCTATCCAACCAACTGACCAATCAACCATCCAACCAACTGACCAATCAATCAACCATCTATCCATCCAGCCAATTAACCAGCCAACCAACTATCCATCTATCCAACAAACTGACCAATCAACCAGCCAACCAACTATCCATCTATCCAACCAACTGACCAATCAACTATCCAACAAACTGACCAATCAACCAGCCAACCAACTATCCATCTATCCAACCAACTGACCAATTAACCAATCAACCAACCAGCGAACCAGCCAACCAACCAGCCAACCAACCAACCAACCTGATCCTTCAGGTTAGCTACAGGCCTCCACAGATTAGAAGAACAAGCGGAGTTGAACATGCGCACGACGCCCGCTGAGTCGCACGTGAACAGAGAACCTTCATTTGAAAATCTTCAAAGATGGTGGAGATTAATGAATTATTTAATTATTTAATAAATGAATGAATGAATGAACTAATGAATTAATTAATTAATTAAAAAACAAATGAATTGTTAAAAGAAATAAAAATCAATGAGTTATGAAAAAAATAAAATAAAACNAGTTGAACGACCAACCCAGCCCAAGCCACTGTGGACTTGCTGGTCAATGGCAGTCTGCCACTGGCCAACAACCTCATCTTGCTGGTTGAGAGCAGCATGAAGGACATGCACTGGTCGCCCGGTATGCCTGGGTATGTGGGTGGTTGGCTGCAGAGCACCAGGTTACAGGCAATCGCATAATATGGGACGAGATAACATCAACGTCGCACGACATCAATATTACATAACAACAACAACAAATGACATCAACATTACACAACAACAACAAATTACATCAACATTACACAACAACAACAAATTACATCAACATTACACAACAACAAATGGCATCATTATTACATAACAACAACAACAAGAAATGACATCACCATTACATAACAACAACAGATTACATCAACATTACACAACAAAAACAATTGGCATCAAAATTACACAGCAACAACAAATTACATCAAAATTACACAACAACAACAATAACATCACCACATGACACATCAACAAAAACACAGCAACAAAGCGTCACAACACACCAACAACATGGAAACGAGAACCAACCCATAGCCTCATGGTAGATGACAGCCAGGAGATCCAAACACCCAACCATGGTGACCAGGGGTCCGGTCAGGCTGAAGACCTCCTTCTGGACTCCCCCGACCGAGTATACCCTCACCAACCTCACGTTCGTAGCCACGGCCAGCCACCTTTCCCCCAGGCACATCCCTACGATGCTTTCGCCATCAGGCATTGCCATTGACCACTCCTTGTTTGTGTCCCATGTTGAAAAGTGCATGCATAACAACTGGCTGGTGTGATGTGATGTCACGATGATGTGATGTCACGATGATGTGATGTCACGATGATGTGATGTCACGATGATGTGATGTCACGATGATGTGATGTCACGATGATGTGATGTCACGATGATGTGATGTCACGATGATGCGATGTCACGATGATGTGATGCCACGATGATGCGATGTCACGATGATGTGATGCCACGATGATGCGATGTCACGATGATGTGATGTCACGATGATGTGATGTCACGATGATGTGATGTTGTGGCGTGATGTAATAACGATATGATGTCAATGCAGTTTGGCTTATTCCTACCTCACCTAAGTACTACCTCACCAACTTCACCACCAGCAAATCATCATCATCATCCTCATCTTACCTTGCAGTGGCTTCCTGGGCTTCAGAAGCAAGCAGAAGAGCCTCCTCATTGAGGGCTGCCATGTTGAAGTTGTGTGTCGAGTTGTCGATGTGAATGGTGTGGTGGATGGATGAGTCGTGGAACTCGGCGTTGATCGTCCGTTCGCCACTCTCGTCTTCAAAGTTCGTGTACTGCTGCACTCGACCTATCTCGTTCCAGACCTGTGGTGGTTGGTGTGGTGGTCGATGGTGGTGGTCATCTTGTTGGTGTGATGCTCGACGATGGTGGTGGTCGATGATGGTAGTGGTCGATGGTGTGGTTGTTGATAGTGGTGGACGATGGTGGTGGTTGATAGTGGTGGACGATGGTTGGTGGTATGTTGATAGTGGTCGTCTTGTTGGTGTGGTGGTACTTCTGTATGTATGGTACTTCAGAATTTTTTTAAATTAGCACTTTATTAATTAATTACATTAATTAATAAAATAATAAAGTACATTAACGCAAAAATATAACAAAAAACCAGAGCAACCAGCAACACAACGCAACAACAAACTGCAACAACAACAACAACGACCGACAACAACAACAAACTGCAACACAACAACAACAAACTGCAACACAACAACAACAAACTGCAACACAACAGCAACAACAACAACAACAACAAACTGCAACAACGACCGACAACAACAACAAACTGCAACAACGAGAACAACAAACTGCAACAACACATCAACAACAACAAACTGCAACACAACAACAACAAACTCCAACAAACCATAAAGCGAGACACCAGTCCCTTAGGACAGGAAGTTGGTATGAATGGCTTCTGCATGTCAACGGGCTGCCATGACTTCCTGCTACTGCTGCCATCCCCGCCAACCTGCTGCGTCGAAATCTCAGTGCTGCTTATCGGCAGGTCTGTCAAACTTTCTGGCCAATCTGTAGTTGGTGCAGTGTTTGCTTGCTGTGGATGATGATGACGTTGATGATGAGGTGATGTGGCGATGTTGTTGTTGTTGTTGTTACTAAATGTGATGATGATGTGATGTTGTTGTTGTAACTAAATGTGATGGACATGTGAAGTTGTTGTTGTAGTTGCTATAAAATGTGATGATGATGTGATGTTGTTGTTGTAACTAAATGTGATGGACATGTGATGTTGTTGTTGTAGTTGCTATAAAATGTGATGATGATGTGATGTTGTTGTTGTAACTAAATGTGATGGACATGTGATGTTGTTGTTGTAGTTGCTATAAAATGTGATGATGATGTGATGTTGTTGTTGTAACTAAATGTGATGGACATGTGATGTTGTTGTTGTAGTTGCTATAAAATGTGATGATGATGTGATGTTGTTGTTGCTGCCAAATGTGATGATGATGATAAGTGATGATGATGGATACAACTTTCGAAAATGTTTTTCTTTTGCGATTTTTCTCCGACCACACAAAAAGCTTCTGGTCAGAGTTAGTTTTGAAATAAATGAAATGAGGACAAAATAAAAATGCGATGTTGCAGTCAGTCGCTGCTTCAACTAAATGTGATGAAGACCGACGATGATTACGAAGGTGAATGCGATGGTTAGGTGACCTCTATTGGACGCTTCTTCGTCCACCAGAATGTTGGTCATCCTCTTCCTCTTCTTCACTCCTCCCTCCTCATCAGCATCATCTTCTTCTTCCTCTTCACCATCTGTATCAACGCCAGGAATACCCCCGTCTCCAGCATCATCATCATCATCCACACCGTCATCGTGTTTTTTATCGTCATCATCACCCATGTTGTTCTGACGATGATGATGATCATCAGCATCATCATCGTCAGCATCATTTGCAACGGCAACGAGCAGGTCGGCATCATCGTCATCGTCTCCAAATAAATCGCCGACTGTCTGGGTGTTGAATTGAAATAAATGAATGATAAATAATCCCTACAGAGAGAAAGATTGCAGAGAGAATTTGAAATAAAAAATTACGGAGTCAATTTAAACAACAGCCTGCAACAACAAGCGCACACTTTCAATAAAAATCACAAGAAAAAATCCCCAACCTGCCTACCAGCATGGCTGGCACTTGTGCCCCCAGCACTTCTCCCGCCATCTTGAATGACGCTGCCCTCAGTAACTTCAACAGGGTTCCTCAACAGGCCCATGTAGCCCTGGTTATTGCAGAATGCGACCTCGTGATTGGTCGGGTGCCAGCATACGCTCGTCACAACCTGTTTCCCACCCTCACCCCCTCTGGTGTCATCAAAAAAGTCATCATTGTACACGAATTCATATAAGTGGTAATTTATACATAATTGCATAATGGTTCAGTAGTTGAAATGGTGATAATAATGGTGACATCCATTTGATCATCTGGATACCGCCATCATCCTCACCATCAGAACATCACTATCATCATCACTCCATCCTCATCATCGGTGTCATCACCAGCACCACCACAACCCCCACCACCACCATCATCATCATCACGGCCACAACCTCTTGACCATCTTCTTCTCCCTCACATCCCACACAGACACTCCTTCCTGCCCTCGTGATGATGCAACGTAGCGTCCATCTGCTGATAAGCTCAATGTTGAGAACGACTGAATAGTAACAATAATCAAACAACAACAATGATAATAATAGTAACAAATGAATATAAATTATAAAGATTATTAATTAGTTTGGATACGACCCACAACAACAGACAACATCCCACACTGGCCAGTGACAACAAAAATCCGCACTAACCAGTGACCAGTTGCCACTGACCACACACCAACCAGTGACCACTTGCCACTGACCACACATCCAACAATGACCACTTGCCACTAACCACATACCAACCAGCGACCACTCGCCACTCAACACACACCCAAAAATGACCACTTGCCACTGACCACACACTGATCAGTGACCAAAACCACCCCACACTGACCAGTGACCACTTGAAACTGACCACACACTGACCAAAGGCCAAAACCATCCCACACTGACCAGTGACCACTTAAAACTGACCACACACTGACCAAAGGCCAAAACCATCCCACACTGACCAGTGACCATGAACTGACCTGGTTGTTCTCAACGTCAGCCTTCAACTCAAATGCAATGGTCCACTCCTTAGCACTGTATGCAAGGATCTTGTCAACGCCAGGTACCAGCAAGTACTGCAGGAATAATACCCCACAGGATAAATATGTCACAGAAAATTATTTTATTGAATTGGCAAACGACTCCATTCAATCAAAACTCAAAACAGCCAGGAAGCTTGGTGAAGCGTGGGTTTACCCACCTCTGAGAAATATCACCTCAACTTTTACCCTACCATGACAACCCCAACCTTAGCGTCATCAGTGAAGGCGATCCTAGCCAGTGTTTTTGATGTTTCGAAGCTGTTTGACTTTGGGAGACATTTGATTGTGCGCAGACATTTGCCTTCGGAAGACTTCCAGACTTTCACGGTTCCATCACAGCTGGAGGAGGCCTTCATGACGTCATAATGTTGTGACGTCATAATGTTGTAATGTGGTGATGTAACGTGATGACGTAACGATGAAGTGACGTCATTACTTTTGATGTAATGATGACGCGATAACAACGTCATCATGCTGATTGTGATGTGACTTAATGTTGTAATGTAGTCATTTTGTTATCACGATGTCATGGAACATGATGTGATGTGATAGGATGACAAGATGATGTTGTGATGAAACTGTTACGTAACGTTGTGATGATGATGATTCAGGCAATGTAGTGATGAACATAGATACAATGTGATAGGAAGACGTCAATTTATAGGATGACGTCAACACATACTCACGATGACGTCATCATCGGATGGATGGATGGTCACGGAGAGTACGGGAGCTTCGTGCCCCTTAAAGTCTGTTTGCGACTTTGTTGTCAGATCCAACATCTTCAACATGAAGTCACTGGGATGATGATGATGGTAATGATGACGACGATGATGGTAATGATGACGATAACATGATGACAGATGAAAACAACTACAATGATGACCAGTGACTTAAAAAGTTGTTTGGTCAAATAAATTAAAAAAAAATAAAATAAAATGAATGTTTTGTGTACCAGCATGTAGTTTTTAAAGCTGAACTTATTTTCAAGGAAGCGTTTTGAAAAAAGTTTCACAGAGCAACAGAATGCTATGTTGGTTAACTAACTAGGTAGGGGTCATCGGCATAAAGACAAGCATATCCTCTAAAACTGTCTAAGCAAAGAAATGAAATGAACTCATTATGGAAAAACCAATGTCGAAAATCGAATCCTTGAGAAGATGTAAAATAAACTATAAAGACTCAAAAGTAAAAAAGGTACTCAGGACTACACCGATGAAATATTGAAATGCAAATTTAACCATTGATCAGAATTGTCAGACTAGTGGAACTAAGAGACATTGGATGTCGTCATTCAGTAGATGTACTTGCCTCTTCACTACACTACTAACTAACCAATTAACCAACCTGCTAACCTACCAACAAACTAACCAACCAATCAACCAACCTGCTAACCTACCAACCAACCAACTAACCAACCTGCTAACCTACCAACCAACCAATCAACCAACCTGCTAACCAACCAGTCAACCAACCAATCAGTCAACCAACCAATCAGTAAACCAACCAACCAATCAGTCAACCAACCAACCAATCAGTCAACCAACCAGCCAATCAGTCAACCAATCAGTCAACCAATCAGTCAACCAACCAACCAACCATTCAGTCAACCAACCAACCAATCAACTGGTCAACCAACCAGTCAACCAACCAGCCAACCAACCAACCCACCTAGCACCAGCCAGCAACTTATCCCCCTTCTTATTGAAGCAGAAGTGGTTGACGTGACTGGTGAACCTCAGCAAGATGCCATCTAGTGACGAATCGGCCAGTATGAACGACTGAATGGAGTTGTCATCGCCAGCCACATACAAACGACCACCCTGTGTTTTTGTTATTCTGTATGTATAGCAACTAGATGGTCATTGTATATTATATTTCATAAGAGTGTCATTGTGGACAAACATATCAATGGACATAGTTGAACGAAACCATTCAACTGAAACCATTTGCATGGTCCATTGTACGTTTCATTAAATTCCATATAATTGAAACTGTGTGTATAAATCAGCATTAGAGTAACACAGAAGCAAAATAACATTGAATATATACAAACACGTTTGATATATTCAATGTTATTTTGCTACTTCCAGGTTAACAAAGGGGTGTTTGACTGTCTGCCATCACATTACAGCACAGCAATGAAGCAGATGAATGAATGCACCGACAAGCGAATTAAAAAATGAACAAACAATTGAAGGAACAAAGAGACAAAACAAATAAAAGAGCAAACAATTGGGTGAACAAACGAGTGATTAAACAATTGGTGAATAAATAAATGAAGAGAAAAAACAAGCAAACGAACACAACAAAGAAATGAATGAACAAATGAACCTTAACAGCAATAGCATAGACCACCTCCCCGATAAGAAACGACGAAGGGTCCTTATCGTCATAACCATTGAAGACCTTCACTTCACCATCGAATCCACACGTCGCCATGTGTCTTCAGTTATTTAAACGATCAATTATTTAACAGTACTTACTTACATTTATAGTTTTCTATTTAAAAGAAGGTCAAAGGTCAACAATTACAATCCTAGGTTTCTCTGAAACAAAAGTTGTTTAATGGTCACTATAAGGTCAGTAGCTACAATCTCCTAATTAATGGAAAGTAAATAACTAAACTTACTGCCTATTAAGTAGTAAATAAGTTACTCTGCTTCAACAATACAAACAAACAACAAACAACCAGAAACTGGCCTACTGACAACCATAATAGTAATTAACAATTCCTAATTCTTAGGTTTTATTATTTGAATTTGCTTTCAGTTAATTTTAATATATAGTGTTAAATGTAAGTAAACTAAACTGTTGGATTAATCTACTAATCTAATCCTAATCAATAGGCATTAGATAACAGTAATAATCATAACCATAATAAACAGCTATAATTAGCATAATAATAATAATAATGCAACACATTGCTACTTATTTTTATACATTTTGTTTTCATTCTCACCAATCTCAATCATATTAATTAGGAATTAGGCTGGGATCTGAGATGAGATACCAAATGAGATAATGATAAAATAAATAATTAATCAAAAAATTAATAATTGAATTATATATAATTATATTTATAATATAATTTATTATTTATATAAAAAAACAAATAAAATAAAAAAATTATAAAAAAATTGTTACCTTCCTTTTTCATCAAAACAGACTTCAAGATGACCCGTACCCCCATCGCCGTGAACTTTCCTCAACTCTCTCTTCAAATTCATTTTAATTAATTAACTAATTTAAACAAAATAAAATCAACTCTTACAAAATTGGCGCTAACAAGTTTTTCAGCGCACGAGTTACGCTAGAAACGAATGACAAAATATTAATGTTTTAAATGCTAATTCAAATATCAACAGAAGTTTCATCAAAAGTTTGTATATATTTTTGTTTTATTGCTTTTTATAATTAATATTATTTATTCTAAAATAAATAAATATATACATATGATTATACCATTGAATTATATAAGTTTATTAGTTATATAATTGAGTTGAGTTATATAATTGAGTTATATAATTCCACGGATTATACATATGATTATACAAATACTGATTTTTTGACTTTATGCCTACTGGAGGTGCTTCCGAAACGTTCATTCATCTGTTTCTGCCTTTCTTTAAAATCATGAATTTGTGCTTAAATACTTGTTGTTCTCCCTCATTGTCATACCGTTGTTGAAAAAGTTCAATCTTGACAGGAATAATGTTTCTAACTATAGGCCTATTTTGAACATATCGTTTTTAACTTTTATCCAACGTTCTTGAAAAAGTGGATGCAAAACAATAATTTTTCCGTTTTGTCAAAGAACAAACTTTTTCAAGCTTGTCAATCCACTCCTGAACGTTTCCTCTGACTCTTCTTCTTTTATCGATAATCAACTTTTCGTTTCTTATTTATCTAGATGAGAGCAACTTTTGAATGTGGATGAGATACTTCTTAATAAACTTGGTTCGATGTGGAAACTTGTGGAAATGTTTTTTCGATGTTACCTTTTTATTTTAAAAAACAGAACCCAACAAATTAGTTTTAATTGTGATTGGTCGGCAGTTTAGGAAACATGTTATGGTGTGGAACTAGAGTGGGTACTAGGTCCTTTGCTCTTCTTGATGTTCCTACTGCCAATGCTCTTAATGTGATTTAAAAATATGATTTTGAATGTCACACTTATTGAATAATTTTTACGTCTAATTCTATATTGGAATTTCTTAACTTGCTTTTACCCACCATACTATGCAAATTCACGTTGATGTTGATGGTAAAATAATACAGGTCACACTCAGCCAATCAATCAATCAATCATTCAATCAACCATTCAATCAAACAATCAATTTCTGAAAAGCCATTTCCGCGATGTTCAACAGTGCTCGTCAATGGCTTTTACAAATAGATGGTCTTGAGATCCGCTCTGAATATCATAAGTGATGAAGTACTTAGAGAAGGAAGCAGAATAGGAAGTAGAATTAGAAAAAAATGTCCGCTTTGAAGAAACCATGTGACTAGTCGTACAAGAAAAATAATCGCACAAATAAATGAACAAACGAACGAACATATGAATGAATAAAAGAATGATAAATTGATTGTTAGATTTTTAAATGAAAGGGTGGGTACATTCATGGATAGAATTAAATGGATATAAATTAAGTGAATTATAATGGAAAGTTAGATGGAAGGATGAAAATAACTTTAAGGCTATTTGAAAAGTGTTCTGATAATGGAAAACAACATTTACAGTTTTTGACCGGTTTTTTTATGTTCGAGTTCATATGTCTATTAACAAAATGTTAAAAAAGGTCCATAACACTCCTCCTAGGTTCAGAGGAATCAACAACTCACAAACATCGAATATGAATACGTACTAAACGACGCATCACACACGAAACACGTGATAGGCGGAGATCTTTCTTTCGTATTCGAACCCAGTGACTGCGCGCACTGTTACACAGCACCAGGCGACCTTAACCACTAGGCCATCAAATCAATTGAACACAAAAGTTACATTTTAAAAAGTTATTTTTTTAAATTAAAAGCTTTAAAACAAATTTTTATTAGATATACAAATGTTAATAAACCACATAAATTAAAGCTATGACATTAAGTAAGGTGCAACTTCGTACATTTCGTAATCAAACTCAGATTTATGAGTTGTATCATTCACTAAGCCTATGAAATCAATTTCTAAACCAAAAGGACCAGGATAGCTGTCTGCTATTGTAATGCCAAACCTTAAAATATCTCCTTTTTGAATTGCCTCCTGTTTGTCTTGAACTCTTCCTTTAGAACTCAAAAAAAACTTGGAAAGAGGAATCTGTAGAATATTTAAACTATAATTAATCGTTTTATTTAATTCCACATAATAACAATAAATTAAATTTAAGAACAAAACAGCCTAAAAAAATCATACAGCTCATTATCAGAGTACAAGTTTGAGATATGATACAAAAAAATAAGCTAAGTTACATATTACAGAAAAAATTTCTCATAAGTGACAATAAAAAAAAGTGATAATGGAAAATGTGAAGAGAAACAGACCTTGGAGAGTTGCCAGTAAGGGCCACCCCTTGTGTAGAGAAGAAAGAAGTAAGCATCATTCCATTGTACGTCCCAATACCTGTTCATGTTGAGGACCAAGTTGTACGTGCGTCCATCCCCTCTCACCTTCATAAGTAGGTGGGTGTATGCACTCCAATCGTACGGCTTCACTCGACCAAATGACAACTTACAGAGAAAACAAATTTATTCAAATGTTTTAAAATTAAATTTTGGTAGCATGACAACAATGAAAGACTGTTTATCTTCCAAGCTAATAGACAAATTTTAAATACCAAAAATTATAATGTCATAAAATTATTCCAAAATCAAATTACAATTCAATAGTATTTAACATTAAATTAAATGAGTTTTTCAATCATATTTGACTACTAAATTAACAACAGTACAGTAATAAAATAAAATGAATAATACAAATATTGAAATAAAAAGACACCATGTTATGAGGCGAGGAAATGTTGCAGTAACCACTGTTTTTTGTGATGCCATCTTTAGGAGTTTCAACATCAAGGTTGCCATAGAAAAAGGCTTTCTTGTTTTTATTTATTATGAAATCCGCAGTACTTTTACCCTCATTATGATCACTGTCACATGTAACAATCCAATCATGTAGAGACTCTGGTTTATCGAACTTCCACAATATCTCATAATCATTGTGGTAGGTGCCACAGACAGCATCCTGTCTGCAAAAATGAACAATTTCGTTTTTTAATTTTGCTAATTCTTTAGGAAACATGTTGAAACCATCTTTGACGGATTTAATGAGATCCAATTTTTCTTCCTTTAAATATTTTCCCTTTCTGTGCATCTCCCAAAAATTATTCAAGCGAGAAGACATGCTCACATTCCGCCAAGGAGACCAACAAATAGGAAAATTGTAAACGCGGCGCAAAAGTTTGGAAACCATTGGATTTGAATGCGATTTAAAATTTATGAAGTGTTCAAAAAATAAGCAGACGATCGGCGTTTACATTATCCATAAATTAAGAAAATTAAGAAGACCAATCGAACTTTTGTTTCTGAATTACGGCGAAGTCGACTTTTACACTATCTATATTGACGTTTAAAAGTTAATTTTAACCTAAAACTAACAACATTATAAAAAATAAAAATGCCGTTTTATGAATACTTACATATATTCACCGTTAAGAACTGAAAGTATTCTATAAAAATATTTTTATAACTAAACAAAAGTTAGCTCTTCAACATTTTTTTCATCATTTATCTCTATAGTCGCTTTAAAGCAAATGCCGCGCGATTTTCAAAATTAGTTGTTAACTTAGAGATGAATAAATTATTTGTTACTTAAGATTGTGGCATAGGCTTATTCCATTATTCCTTCTGTTTCAACTTTAAGTTCATTTATTTATTGATATTCTTTTTTGGTATACCTCAGTGGTAAAAGTAATTTTAAATCTTATTAGAATAATTTGGTAATAAAAATAGAGACAACCACAAGTTATTTATTTGAAATTTATTTTCAATCGAGTCAAATCAAGCATCAATTGGAGAGAGCTTTATAAAATTGTTTCTCAAGTTAAAACCGTCACGTTCGAAAATATAAAAATAATGTTAAATTTTTTAAATAATTATAATTTGAATGTGAGTGAAGAGCTGTAAAAAAATCACTTTTGTTTGCTTATGTTAGGCTATTCTTCTGGCGGGACGTTTATCTTTAGTGTCGTTGTTGTAGTAGTGAACGTTGCATCAGCATTCGTGGTAGTAAATTCAGTCGTTGTCAGTTTGGTGGTGGTCGTTCCATCACTTGGCACAAACGTTGTTGATGTAAACATTTCTGTAGTTACAACAACTGTTGTCAACATTTTTGTTTCTACAACTGTTGTAAGAACTGTTGTTGAACTTGCTGTTACGTTATTCTGATTGGATGCTGCCGTTGCATTTTGATAAATTGTTGTCGTTTCGTTTTGTTTTTTAGGATCTGTTAACGATTCGAAAAATATTAAAAAGTATGTTTAATTCATAAAATTCTTATTTATTTAATTAACATTAATGATAACATTTAATGACAGCAAAGACTAAAATTTATACTTTCAACGCTCTTTCCTCTAGAATGTTTTTGAAAAACTAATTGAAATGAACGTAACATAAGCACATAACAACCTCTGTTGATCATGACAACAGTTGTGAAAAAAGAGAAGGTGATGAGCCAGGCTACTGATGAACATAAAGCCACTGGTATTACACCTGCACTCTTCCTCCTCCTTACATGTAAGGAGTTTATGATCGTCACCCTTCTTACAATCCTGCTCGTCTTGGGAACTCTAATGACAACGAACCCATCATTTGGTGTTGTTAGGTTTGCATTTGGTAGCAACCTCTTTAAATTTGCGATAACTTCTTCAGTCTGCATCCTCTTACTCCTACTGATCAATAATTGGTAGTTTATTGATCTTCAACTGGAAAATTAATTTTTTGTCATGATCGAATTGGATAGTGATTAACAACGATTGTGATAAAACTTTCATAATTGTACATTTTGAGGATGGGCATAACATTGTTGATCAAGGACCAAACGTATTATTAAAAGCCAATTTTTAGCTTAAATAAAGCAAATGTCACCAAAGTTTTAAGTTGCGAGCTCAAAGGAAGTTTTTGAAGTTGATTGCAATATAAGTCAAAATTTTAACAATCGTTATGATTGTTTATCAGTTTATTTAACGTTACGAAGAATGTACACGACTGTGAGGTGCTTGTTGTTCAAATTTTTTTTACTTTGTGTTGCTTACGGTGGTGTGGTGTAAAATTTTTTGTTTAAATAAACTTTTAACAATTTTTTGTAGATTGGTGCTTTAAGGTTTAAATGATACGTCAAATAAGTTTTTAGGAAATAATTAAACTGCGACTTGAACATTATTGTGCAGCTTTTAAAATATTTCTATATTTTATATCTAGCCAGTGCAAGAAAACAAGATATGGAGATCAGTGGCGTAGCTAGGGTCTTCTGCGCCCGGGGACAAAACAAAAAATTTGCGCCCCCTACATAAAATCTGTCAAACTATATAAAATATAACTGTCGTACTCAGTATTTGAAGTAGGCTACACTCCGTGACGCCTATATACAATGCATTTCAGTGTATTCATGTTTCTATATGCATATTGCACCTTACACCATAATTGTATTATTCTTTCTCAGTTCTTAACTATTATATTGTAATACAAAATATTAATGATTATCATTTAATCATTTATTTGGCAAAAAAAATGATTATGATTAAAAAAAAATGATTATGATTGATGTATATAATTAGATTCTTTCAAGTAGTTTTTATAATTCTGTATTTTTATTGTCCGCTGAGTCAGAAGTGTGAAATAAAAATTATTAAATTTAAAAACAAAACAACAGCTAAGTATTGTCTAGAAATTGTGGTTAGGAAATGAGCAGAATTTTAAAGAAAATTTATTTTTCTTGCTTTTACTGCAGCAAACTGGTTAATTATATCATCAAAATCAATCTGTTCAAGAACTTCCCTCTCCACACTCATTAGGGCCAGATCGCTGAGTCTATCTTGTCCCATGGATGCTCGAAGATAGGAAAGAATTATTTTTAATTTACTGAAGGATCGCTCACAGCTGGCAATC